CATCCTACGCTGAATGTTTTCTAACGAATTTATGTCCATTTTGTAATACGGAGACCAGAACTGAGCTGCATAATCTAGGTGAGGCCTTACTAATGATGTATAAAGCTGCAGTATGACCTCTGGACTTCTGTTGCTTACACTTCTTGATATAAATCCCAGTAATCTATTTGCCTTATTACGTACGCTTAGGCATTGCTGTCTTGGTTTAAGGTTGCTGCTCACCATAACCCCAAGTCCTTTTCGCAATCTGTATGGCTAAGTTCTACATCATTTAATTTATAAGTACTAGTGTTATGGGCACTCCCAAGCCTCAGAACCTTGCATTTATCTACATTGAACTGCATCTGCCACTTTTCTGACCAAGAATAGAGTTTGTTTAAATCCTCCTGAAGTTCCCTAACATCTTACGTTTGAATCAATTATCCTACCTATCTTTGTGTCATCGGCGAATTTGCTCATATCACTAGTAATTCCCTCATCAAGATCATTGATATATATTATAAAACAACAACGGGCCCAAGACTGATCCCTGTGGAACGCCACTTGTTACAGATCCCCACTCGGATTTAACCCCATTTATGGACACTCTCTGCTTCCTGTCAGTGAGCCATGACTCGATCCACGAGAGCACTTTTCCCCAATGCCATGAGCTGCCACTTTCTTTAACAGTCTATGGTGCGGAACTCTATCAAAAGCCTTACTAAAATCTAAGTAAATAATATCAAATTCTTTATTGTGGTCAACAGCCTCAAAAGCTTTACTGAAGAAAGTTAATAAATTAGTTAGACAAGACCGGCCTCTTGTGAATCCATGCTGAGTATCATTAATCAAGCTATGCTTATCGAGATGGCTTCTTATAATCTCAGCTATAATTGACTCTAGTAATTTGCCTACAATTGAGGTCAGGCTTATTGGGCGGTAATTTGACGGTAACGACTTGTCCCCTGTTTTAAAAATAGGAGTTACATTAGCCATCTTCCACATATCAGACACTACACCTGTTTGAAGAGATAAATTAAAAATATTAGTTAATGGTTCACAGAGTTCCATTTTGCATTCCTTAAGAACCCTTGAAAAAACCTCATCAGGACCTGGCGACTTATTTTGCTTCAGTCTGTCTATCTGCCTCACAACCATCTCACTAGTGACTGTGATGTTACATAATTTATCTTCTTCTAGCCCACTGTAAAAATTAATTACTGGAATATTGTTAGTGTCTTCCTGTGTAAAAACTGAGAGAAAATAATTATTTAAAATCAAGCACATTTCATTCTCTTTGTCAGCAGCAGGTGTTGCTGCTCAGTCAGCAGCAACACCTGCTGCTGACTGAGCACCTAACACCTCACACACTCAACACTGGCTGCTCCCTGAGCACCTAACACCTCACACACTCAACACCTTCTGCTAGCTGAGCACCTAACCCCTCACACACTTAACATCTGCTGCTGTTTGAGCACCTAACACCTCACACACTCAACACTTGCTGCTGCCTGAGCACCTACCACCTCACACACTCAACACCTCCAGCTCCTGAGCACCTAACACCTCCCGCACCTGAGCAACTAACACCTCACACATTCAACACCTGCTGCTCCTTGCACACCTAACATCTCACATTCTCAACACCTGCTGCTCCATGAGCACCTAACACCTGACACACTCAACACTTCATGCTCCTGAGCACCTAATACCTCACAGTCAACACCTGTTCCTCTCTGAGCACCTACCACCTCAAACACCCAACACTTGCTGCTCCTTGAGCACCTAACATCTCACACACTCAACACCTACTGCTCATTGAGCGCCTAACATCTCACACACTCAACCCCTGCTGCTCCATGAGCACCTAACATCTCACACTCAACACCTACTACTCTATGAGCACCTAACACACACACTAAACATCTCCTCCTGAGCACCTAACATGTCAAACACTCAACACCTGGGGCTCCCTGAGCACCTAACACCTCACACACTGAACACATGCTGCTGCCTGAGCATCTAAGACCTCACACTCAACACATGTTGCTGCCTGAGCACTTACCACCTCACACACTCAACACCTGCTGCTCCTTGAGCACCTAACATCTCACACACTCAACACCTGCTGCTCCCTGAGCACCTAACATCTCACACTCTCAACACCTGCTGCTCCATGGGCACCTAACATCTCACACACTCAACATGTGCTGCTCCTTGAGCACCTAACATCTCACATACTCAACATCTTCTGCTCCATGAGCACCTAACACCTCACACACTCAACGCCTGCTGCTCCCTGAGCACTTACCATCTCACACACTCAACACTTGCTGCTGTCTGAGCACCTAACACCTCACACACTCAACACTTTCTGGCGCCTGAGCACCTAACACCTCGCACACCTAACACCTGCAACTGTCTGAGCACCTAACACCTCACACTCAACACCTGCTGCTGCCTGAGCACCTACCACCTCACACACTCAACACTTGCTGCTCCCTAACACCTAAAATCTAACATACTCAACGCCTGCTGCTCACTGAGCACCTAACATCTTACACACTCAACACCTGCTGCTGTCTGAGCACCTAACACCTCACACACTCAACACTTGCTGCTCCTTGAGCACCTAACATCTCATGCACTCAGCACCTGCTGCTCACTGAGCACCTAACATCTAACACACTCAACACCTGCTGCTGTCTGAGCACCTAACACCTCACACTCAACACTTGCTGCTGCCTGAGCACCTACCACCTCACACACTCAACACCACCTGCTCCTGAGCACCTAACACTTCACACACACAACAACTGCTGCTCCCTGAGCACCTACCACCTCACACACTCAACACTTGCTGCTGCCTGGGCACCGAACACCTCACACACTCAACACCTGCCGGTGCCTGAGCACCTAACACCTCACACACACAACACCTGCTGCTCCCTGAGCACCTACCACCTCACACACTTAACACTTGCTGCTGAGCACCTAACACTTCACACACTCAACACCTCCTGCTCCTGAGCACCAAACACCTCAACCACTCAACACCTGCTGCTCGATGAGCACCTAACACCCCACACACTCAACACCTCTTTCTCATAAGCACCTAACACCTCAGACACTCAACCCCTGCTGCTCCCTGAGCACCTAACACCTCACACACTCAACACTTGCTGCTGCCTGAGCACCTAACACCTCACACACTCAACACCTGCTGCTGCCTGAGCACCCAACACCTCACACTCAACAACTGCTGCTCCCTGAGCACCTAACATCTCACACACTCAACACCTGCTGCTGCCTGAGCACCCAACACCTCACACTCAACAACTGCTGCTCCCTCAGCACCTAACATCTCACACACTCAACACTTGCTGGCTTGATAAAGCTCCTGGAGAGCGAAACGTTGCTACAATAAATGTCACATTAGTTGCACTTGTGTCCTTTTACTTTACATATTGTCGGTAATTCTACCAACCTTATTACAACCTAACATCTTGCATACTCAACACCTGCTGCTCACTGAGCACCTATCATCTCACACACTAAACATCTGGTACTTCTTGAGCACCTACCATCTCACACAGTCAACACCTGCTGCTGTCTGAGCACCTAACACCTCACACACTCAACAGTTGCATCTGCATGAGCACGTAACACCTCATACACTCAACACCTGCTGATCTCTGAGCACCTAACACCTCACACACTCAACACCTGCTGCTGCCTGAGCACCTAACACCTCACACACTCAACACCTGCTGCTGCCTGAGCACATAACACCTCACACACTCAACACCTGCTGCTGCCTGAGCACATAACACCTCATACACTCAACACCTGCTGCTGCCTGAGCACCTAACACCTCACACTCAACACCTGCTGCTGCCTGAGCACATAACACCTCATACACTCAACACCTGCTGCCGCCTGAGCACCTAACACCTCACACTCAACACCTGCTGCTCCCTGAGCACCTAACACCTCACACTCAACACCTGCTTCTGCCTGAGCACCTAACACCTCACACTCAACACCTGCTGCTGCCTGAGCACCTAACACCTCACACACTCAACACCTGCTGCTGCCTGAGCACCTAACACCTCACACACTCAACACCTGCTTCTGCCTGAGCACCTAACACCTCATACACTCAACACCTGCTGCTGCCTGAGCATCTAACACCTCACACTCAACACCTGCTGCTGCCTGAGCACCTAACACCTCACTAATCAACACCTGCTGCTGCCTGAGCACCTAACACCTCACACTCAACACCTGCTGCTGCCTGAGCACCTAACACCTCATACACTCAACACCTGCTGCTGCCTGAGCACCTAACACCTCATACACTCAACACCTGCTGCTGCCTGAGCACCTAACACCTCACACTCAACACCTGCTGCTGCCTGAGCACCTAACACCTCACTCAACACCTGCTGCTGCCTGAGCACCTAACACCTCACACTCAACACCTGCTGCTGCCTGAGCACCTAACACCTCACACTCAACACCTGCTGCTGCCTGAGCACCTAACACCTCACACTCAACACCTGCTGCTGCCTGAGCACCTAACACCTCATACACTCAACACCTGCTGCTGCCTGAGCACCTAACACCTCACACACTCAACACCTGCTGCTGCCTGAGCACCTAACACCTCACACTCAACACCTGCTTGCCCCTGAGCACCTAACACCTCACACTCAACACCTGCTGCTGCTTGAGGACCTAACACCTCATACACTCAACACCTGCTGCTGCCGAACCTAACACCTATACACTAAACCCCTGGGCTGCCTGAGCACCTAACACCTACACTCAACACCGTTTCTGCCGAGCACCAACACCTCCACTAAACACCTGCCCCCTTTGACACCTAACACCCACACTCAACAAGCAAGAGGGTTTTGACTATGTTTGACCCCTCACCCCCTTAAATACACTATATTTCTCACTAAAGCGTCGTATACATTCTACCACATGAATGTTGTAATGTAGCTGTGACTCACGTCTGGTGGAGAGAAGAAACTGTAGTAAGTGTTGTTCTGAGAGAACCTCTGCTTGTTTATGTTGTTGTTTTAAGGGCGTGTGAGATGTGTGCAGTATACGGCCCGGTCCCGCCCCCCACCCAAGACTCATCCAAACAGTAAACAAAATAATAATGTAACATCTTTACTTACTACAACTACATGTACAAGGTATACAGACCATAGCTGACAGCAATGACATACCACTATATAGAAAGCCGCTTGTTATGTGAGTATTTGGGGGAAATACACAAATAACCCGACATAAAAAGAGAAGTTTACAACGACGTTTGGGCCCGACTTGGACCTTTAAAAAGTCGGTAAGCTTCTCCTTTAGGCGGGTTTTTTGTGTATCTTTCCAGTACGGTTTTTTTGGCCTTTTTTTTTTTTTTCGGGGTGGTGCAAAGATACGTAACCTTTATTGGGCGCTGTACACCCCCTCATTTACAGGCTATCCCCCCCAACCAGCAAACCCGGGTTTGCTAAGAGTTGATGATGGGGCCCCGTCGTTCAACTAGTACCGGGTTCCAGCCAATAAGATGATTTTTTGGCAACGCAAGGTTATGGGGGTACCATCTCCTGTCCCCCCCTGCTTTCCATTCTAGAGCTGGTTGAAGCAGGTCGCTCTCTTGTGGTTTTCTGTTTCGGGCTTGTTACCGGGAGAGCCCTATCTTATCACGTAATGTGTACATATTGCGTTCAAAATTGGTGAAGGATAATATAATCTAAACTTTTCTGCTTTTGTTTATTTTGCCCCCTTTACCCCCGGGATAAACCATTTGGAACTGGCGTCAGAGCAAGTTGCAACCCCTCCGATTTTTCCAAACGGTCTGATATTGCTGAGGGGATGGCCGGGGGGACTCTCCACGCTATATTCGCTCCCGCGCAGCCCTCAACAGAGCTATTACTTGCATTGTACAGACCCCTCAAAAGTCGATGTTAAAGTGTCAACGCTGGGGCACATTGCCAGGAAAAGCCCATCTAAGTACATGGTGGCAGGTGTGCCCTGTTCATCCTCTGAACGGGTTATGATATGATCAAACAGCAACAGGGGCTATTGCTAAAAAATGTATCAATTTTAAACCCAGGAGTCACAGAGTCAGGGTTGACTCAGTGTAGGGTGATCGCTAACACCACCGCCTTTACCCGTCCCCCTCATTAGACCCCCAGGGCTACCAGGTACCTCGGGTATGAATATGGCTCATGTGCCCCAGCAATGGGGTTGGCACCTCACCCTTGGGGGCACGTCCCAAAACCTCCATACTCGGGTGTCAATACCAGCCTAGCTGAGTCAGCTGACAGTCAGCCAACGAGCTCAGCTGACCGGGGGCTTTTAGTCTCCCAAGTTTCCCAATCTTGTCTTGTGGATCAAAATTTATGTCGCGCTAAAAATACTGGAAACACAACAAATTTTTCCGAAACAACAAATTGAACAACACAAGGGAAAAAGTGAAAAGTGTCCAATAAACAAATTGTCCAATTTGTGGGAAGTATAAGGGCTGAACAGGGGGGTGGTGGTGTTCTTAATTACAGTAATGACGAAAAAATATTTGTGTTGATAAATATACTGAGCATCAAATAAGGCTATGGGTCAAAGAATTATAAATGATGACCCAAATAAGTGGTGGTGAAGAGTTTGATGAGAGCAATGGTGTCTATAATGTTAGTAAAGTGATGACCCTAAAATAAGTGGGGGTGAAGAGTTGATGAAGCAATGGTGTTTTTTGTTGTAATAGTGTGACCCTAATATAAGTGGTGGTGAAAGTTTTTGATAAGCGGTGGTGTTATAATGTTGTAATAGTGATGACGAAATAAAGGGTGGGGTTTCAAGGGGGTGATGGGGAACCACATAGACATTTCGTTGAATAAATATTTGATAAAGTAAAGAACACAATGTTTTGGTAGGGCGCTGGTGATACAGTTGTAGTGTTGCGTGTAATGTTGTGGGGGAGGGGGTTGGTGGTGGGGTCACCTATCATAAACAACATAAAAAAGCGTCATGCTTGGGTTTACGAAGACTCCCACGAGGCCCTTACAACTAGAGGTGCACTCAAACTCATGGAAAGGGGAGCACTGTTGACATTGATAGGTCTTCTTTTATATGAACAATTTTTTTTATTATGCTGAGAAATAAGGATCCCAGGACTACTATAAAGGATCAAAACTGTATAAACTTTCTATATTAAGCTGGAATATTTCATCATTAGAAAAAGATTTCCCGCCTTCACATAAAGTAACAAAACCCCAAAAG